GAAACTCTCTCTCTTACAAATGTTTTTCTTCTTAATTCTAGATTGTTACAAATGGTGCTAAGCACCTCTATTTATACAAGTGAGAGAGAAACTTCTAACATGTTCTAGATTTCTCTAAATTATTATCCTAATCCAAAATATCTAACATTAATTATTCTACTCCATAACTTTCTCTATTTTTCTCCATAATTCTAGAGAATTCTTTCTCCTTATGCTTCTCTTTTGGACTCTTAATATGGATCATAACTTTGGGTTTGGGTTTGGGCTAATGGAGGAAAATCCAACATATACAGGAAGGGAAATTTGTGGATGATGTTTTTTTTTTTTTTGATTCAATGTGGATGATGTTAACTACTTAATTTCATCACACCGGAAGGGAAATTAACCGTGTCTGATTTTGACAGAGGTTGAGACTGTAATTACATAAAACTTTGGGTCAAATGTCGAATAACATAGAAAGTTATGGCTCGTAAGCATAATCTTGTAAAGTATAAAATCTTCTCCCTAGCAGGTTGAAAGTTGAAACCTTCTTAACTTCTCTTCACCAAGTTAGTTTCAGTAATTGGTGTGGACATGTTTGTTTTGCAGATGGTACAAGCACATTCACCTTTTCTGGAATATGTTACATACATTAAATCTTTGATTTGTATCAACTTATACTCCTTGATTAAGTCAGCAAAATGTTAAATTAAAAACCTGGAACCAGCTAGTTAAGTTCAAATCAGTTAGGTTTTACCCGACTGAGCACAATGTAATGATTTATTTTGGTTGGTTTTGTTCATTTCTGATACATGGGAGAGAAAAACAGAGAGTACAATAAAGTAGATTTTGCATCTCAGATTACTGAAATACGGTAATACCTAAACACTAACATAGTGGCAGCACTTCCAAAAGGAAGCTTCAGAATGTGATCACTTGTTTAGGTTGCCTACCTGCCTTCCCAAGAGCTTTATTCAGAGCGACAGGGAACTCGTCGAAAGGAACCAGTTCCGTCCTGTCAGAAGAAACCAACAGTTTATTTAAACTGGTAAACAAGGAAGAAGTTTTATAGTGGGAGTTAAGAATCTCTATTTGAGAAAAGGACTCACTCGTATTTTAGCTTCCCGTCCCGCGCAAGGCCGAGGAGATAGTCTATCATCTCTCTGCATTCTTTTACTTTACCTTTTTTTGAAACACATATTGCATTAATGAAACAGGGGTTAGTTGGGGGCCATAAACTCTTCCCCAACTGGTACAAGTTCAGGCAAATTCAATGCCTCTTTTGCCAGTACATCGGCATCTACATTCCTCTCACGGGAAATCCACACAAAAGATACAAACTCAAACTCAAAAGACAAAGTCTTGACATCTGCAACAACGCTAAGCAACTCTGCATTTACCTCTTCACCATTGATATTCTTAATTAGTACACTTGAATCCGATTCAAATCTCACATTCTTTATCTTCAACCTCAAGCAAGTAATAACTGCATCTCTGAGCGCTAGTCCTTCCGCCATTAGAGGGGAGTTAACATGCATCAGTTGTCGTTGGAATGATTTATTCTGGGTTGAGTCAAGAATAATCCATCCAATTCCTGCGATATTCTCCGTTGATAACCAAGCTGCATCGGTTCTTATTATCGTCGCTCCTCCAAGTGCTGGGGTCTCCTTCTTCTTGCCACCTTTGTGTCCCGACGTCTCTGTTTTACCATCCAAACTCCATTCTCTCGCCAATATTATAGCCGAGGAGAGTGTATCCTCCGGGGAGGAATAAAAGCCTTCGAAAACCAATCTATTTCTCGCCTTCCATAGAGCCCATATAATCCAGAGAACCAAGGTTCCAGAGACTATTCCGGCTGGGGGCAAGCATTGGAGGTTGCAGATGGACGGCCATGTCGCATTTAAATCTATTACTCCTCTGAAATCCATGTCGGTGCTGAAGGGGGCCAGCTGCCATACCTTTTGAGCAAAACAACAGTGGAAGAGAAGATGAGGGATAGATTCATTGCATCCACAGCGCTTACATTTTGGATCTACGTTGATGTGCCGATCCTGTAGACGCTCTCCCACCGGCAGTGCGCCTTTTAAAGCTTTCCAAGCGAACAGTTTAACCTTTGGTGAACACTGGAGGTTCCAAACATTCTTGTTCCAACCAAAATTGGTCTCCATATCAAGTGCATCGTCTCCTTCCTCAACCGCGGTGTAGTAACCCGATTTGACGGCATACTCTCCTGATTTTGTGCCTAGCCACACTAATTTATCTGGAGCCCCAGTTAAGCTTGGTTTTAAGCAAAGAATTTTCTCTTGATACTCTGGTAGCAGGAGGAGAATTTTTCGGGGATCCCATTGCTTTCCATCCTCCATTAACAAGTCAGAGACGAGCAGGTTAGCGTTTACCTCCGTTGGTGGTCCCATTGGCCTTTCGGGCTTGTTCAAGCAGAGCTCTTTTACTTTACCTAAACTCAACCACTTCTGCAGCCAAAACCCTTTCAACGCCAAATCCTGTAAACCAATCAAACTTTTAACGCACAGTGCACAAAAGCATACACTCAACAGGACATACCGATGCCAATTTAACTTGTGCAAAATATCTAAGATAGACATTTACCTTAAAGATGAAAGATGTTGTTGACACAGTGATTGGCTTCTTAGACATCCCTCCATATGTTACCATGGTTCCTCCTTCCCTGGAGTATGAAAGTTCACAACAACCTTCAGCACAGCGTGAAGTCAAATGAAAGTGAACAAAAACAGAAATGTTCGGCGCACACCTCAGCAACTTGAGAACAAGAGATGCGGCATTGCCACCAACACAGTTGAATCCCAGAGCTGGTTCAGGCAAGCCCCCCTAGACCACACATGTTAAACGTATATATTTTGATGCAAACTTCGGATACTTAGATATCTCTTAAGACTTCAATCTTACCAAAAGACTTTTAACGTTCTTAACATTCAGTTGACTCTCTAAAAACACTTGGTCTGCACCAAGAGCTTTCAGACTCTCTCTCGCTTCATCCGAGCCAGCCCTAAAAATCAGTGGCAAAAAACAGAATTTACTAGACCAGTTCCACTTTGAAAACATCTTAAATTTGATTCATAATAATATAAAACACCTATCACGTATAATGTTGATGGTACTGATGCCACGGAGCTTCGCTAACTGAATCACACATTGACCCACGATACTTGTTGCACCATTCTGCACCACAGAATCTCCTGCTTCAGAGTATCAACTGTTAAAGAATACCAAAAAAAAAACAAGTACAGTTACTTGAGAGATAAAAGTCCAAACCAGAATCTAAGGCCACAAAATCTTCGAGCATCCTTAGAGCCGTCAATGGATTAATAGTAATCGTCGCTGCATACTCCATTGGACAAGATTTGTCAATTTTGTGCCACACACTCTCCTCCTTGACAACAAACGTCTGCCACATCCCTTCAACACAGAAGAAGAGACTCCATCAGATACTTAACAAATCCAAATGTATCCAATTGTCAGGTTCCTTGTGTACTAAGGAATGCAACAGGTAACAAGAATGTTCAAAAAATCGCTAGGCGTTGGTTAGGCATTTTATAGAGGATTAATTTATTATTATTTGAAAGAATAGTTTCATTTAGATTCGATTTGCCGACTAAGCGGAAACCTAGACTAATTATTAGTGTACCTGAAGAAGGTGGAGAGGGAATAACCCAATCACCAGGAGAAAGAGCATTAACATTGGATCCAACAGAATAGACTTCACCAACACCTTCATAACCGCCAACCGCTGGTACCGGTGGCCTCACCGGGTACACACCTAAACCAAACAAACAAACAGAGACTCTCTCATATACAACTACAAGTCGCTCTATAACCAACTAACTCTGATCGAAACTTAGCTAATAATCAAACATTTCTTCCTCAATGTATCGTAGTACCGAACCTTCAATTCCATTGATATCGGAAGGATTGATCGGAGCGGCGATCATTTTAACGCATACATCGTTTTCTTTCACTTCCACCGGCGGGAGATTCACCAATCTGAAAAAAAAAGAGAAGGAATGTTAGTTAGAGTGGAGATTATACATTCGGTAACGGTGGAACGGAGGCGATACACGAAGGAACCTGGTGACAGAATCAGGAGAGCCGTGCTGCTCGTATACGATGGCCTTTGAAGGTGGCGACATAAGCATTGTTTTATTAAGTTTATGCCCAAACCCTACCGTGTCCCATATATAACCAATTTAGTTAGCAGAAATAGTAAGTGGGTCATTCTTTAGTATCTCCTCTAGCAGGACAACAAGTTTAGTTGACTTCTTGAAATGGTATCTCAGAAGCTGACAGAGATGGCTTAACTCATAGTAATGCACGTCTTGAGTCTTTCTTTTATATAAAAAAAAAGAATATTCGAAGAGAACTTGTCAATATCATCAATCATCAATCATCCTCGTCTTTGTACTACTTGCTTATATATCTCAAGTCTTTATGGTCATTGTAACAACTTAGTGAAATATATATCTTCTTGCATTTTTTAGAAATATATAGGTTTCTCTGTTTCAGCTTTCATTTCTCTAATGGTAAAGTTTTAAAAACCACAATCTCTCTGAACAGGGCTGCTCAAAACATTTCCAGACCTTGGTCAAATATTTTATATATAAGTTTGAAGTCTTCTTTCGAAAAAAAACATATAACTTAAAATAATTGTACGAAAAAATAATAATAATAATTTTAATTATGAAAATATATAAAACTATAATTAATTCTTTTTTTGCAACAACAAACAAAATTTAGTTAGAAATAAACTCTTTAAAAAAATATTAGGCCTCTAATAATCATAGGCTCTAAGCCACCCCTGTCTCTGAATAAAACTCACCAATTTCTACCACTCCTTGATCAGGGCGTTTGTCTGCTGACTCTAATAGTATCAATTGACTCATTAAGAAAACTAAAGATCAAGGCAGCTTTTTCAACTGGTTCTTCTTCACATGATCTCAAAGAAGCTTTTTTAAGACCTTTCTTTGTCTGAAAGGCTGTTTTTCTTTCTATGCTTTTGCGAATTTTTTTGTCTCTCGTGTCCTTGCAGTAGTCTCAGCTTTGATCAAATCAATATGAGGATACTTTTGCTGATTTTATAATGAGTGTCATGTTTATATAACGTTCTCAGTTATTATATTTTGCTCTAATGTATTAAGTAGTTTACTAAGCCAAAATGGGAAGGATGGTTAGGAATAAAGACATGTTGTCTAAAGTTAATATGGCTCATTTTTCTTTCAACCGGACTAGGTTTAGGTCGCTTGGTTCAAAGAGGAGGTACTTGGTGGCAGTCTTAGGAGGTTCTCATGGCATCTAAACAAACTATACTCAGCTTCAGAGTTGACCAATCTGTCAGCTTCTACAAGTATGATGTAACATTGGTTGGCTTGATCATCAAGCGACCTATAAAAAAAACTTTCATCACCATGACTATTTGGTTATCAATCCAAATGGATCTTTATGGTTACTTTTATGATCTTTGATTTGGGTTATACTCTTTCTGGGCTGGGTTAAGACTTGTATTTTCTAATTTCTCATGCAATAATATATTGGGCTGGGTTTTAAGACTGTACTAGCGCGGGACGAGAGTGATCACAACTAACACGTGTCATCTACAAACTTCACTTACTCTACACGTTAATCCCACAACTGGTCTAATTACTAAAATACCTCTATACTCGCTTGCTCTGCAAGTGATGGACTTGGTCAGTATCTGCTGGTCGGTCCCTATATATCTATCCTACCCTCTCTCTCTACATTGAGAAAACACATTCTCTTCTTTGATATCTTTCATTCCACAAACACATTCTCTTCTTTAATTTTCTTTCTTCCACAAGTTTCTTTCTTAAATCATGGAGTTTACATCTCCTAGTCGCTCTGGAAAGGACGAACAAGTTGTTCCTCCTAAGAGAGGTCGGGTCAAGATCATGATCGCTCGTGATCTAGCCACCTCGATCACCTGGAATCCTAGGAGAAGCCGAATCAAGAGTATGATCGCTCGCGATCTAATCAGATCAGCAACCTTCCCAGGGACCAAGAACAACCACGACGGAGACGGGAATAGAGAAGGCTGAGAGCTGTCTGATATCTGTCTTCAGTTATTGGATCGGATCGAACTGTATATTTGTATGATATTATGTAAGAGAACATCCCGGTCAACTCCTGGGTTTGTAAAATAGTGATGTTACGGTTGGTCATATGTTGTATAAAATAATACTTTGTAATATACAAATGTAAAAAAGAGAGATGCTTGTGTAAAAAGATTTACCTGTTTCGATTTTTATATCCATGTGTCATCCATATGAAATGCGTCAACATATATAATAGTTAACTCATGTTAAGGTAATTCGATTTGTGGATGATGTTAACTACTTAATTTCATCCCACTAGAAGGGAAATTAACGGTGTCTGATTTTGAGAGAGTTGAAGAGTCAAATGTCGAATAAAATGGAAAATGTATGGCTCGTAAGAGTAAATCTTATAAAGTATAAAACCTTCTTAACTTCTCTTTTTTTTTTTTTTTTGGTCAAAACCTTCTTAACTTCTCTTCACCAAGTTAGTTTCAGTAAGTGGTGTGGACATGTTTGTTTTGCAGATGGTACAAGCACACATTCACCTTTTCTGGAATATGTTTACATACATTAAATCTTTGATTGTATCTGCTTATACTCCTTGATTTAATCAATAGAATGTTAAATTAAAAACCTGGAACCAGTTGTACCCAGCGTAATGATTTATTTTGCTTGGTATGTTCAGTCTACAATTTTATTGTTTCTGATACATGGGAGAGAAAAACAGAGAGTACAATATAAAGTACATTTTGCATCATCAGATTACTAAAATATGGTAATACCTAAACACTAACATAGTGGCAGCACTTCCTAAAGGAAGCTTCAGAATGTGATGACTTGTTTAGGTTGCCTACCTGCCTTCCCGAGAGCTTTATCCAGAGCGACAGGGAACTCGTCGAAAGGAACCAGTTCCGTCCTGTCAGAAGAAACCAACAGATTATTTAAACTGGTAAACTAAGGAGGAACTTCTATTTTGAGAAAGAGACTCACTCGTATTTAAGCTTCCCGTCCCGCGCAAGCCCGAGGAGATAGTCTATCATCTCTCTGCATTCTTTTACTTTACCTAAACTCAACCACTTCTGCAGCCAAAACCCTTTCAACGCCAAATCCTGTAAACCAATCAAACTTTTAACACACAGTGAACAAAGAAAACGGGATATACCGATGCCAATTTAACTTGTGAGAAAGATCTATGTATCAATTACCTTGAAGATAAAAGATGTTGTTGACACAGTGATTGGCTTCTTCGACATCCCTCCATATGTTACCATGGTTCCTCCTTCCCTGGAATATGAAAGTTTACACAGCCTTCAGCACAGCCATATGTTGTCAAATGAAAGTGAACAAAAACAGAAATGTTCGGCACCTCAGAAACTTGAGAACAAGAGAGGCGGCATTGCCACCAACACAGTTGAATCCCAGAGCTGGTTCAGGCAAGCCTCCCTAGACCACACACATACACACATGTTAAACTTGTGATACTTACAGTTGCTGCTAAATATCTCTTTAAGAGTTCAATGTTACCAAAAGACTTTTCACGTTCTTCACATTCAATTGACTCTCTAAAAACACCTGGTCTGCACCAAGAGCTTTCAGACTCTCCCTCGCTTCATCCGAGCCAGCCCTAAAATCAGTTGCAATTTACTAGACCAGATCCACTTTTGAAAAATCGTAGAATTGGATTGATAATAATATAAAAAACACCTATCACGTATAATGTTGATGGTACTAATGCCACGGAGCCTAGCTAACTGAATCACACACTGACCCACAATACTTGTTGCACCATTCTGTACCACAGAATCTCCTGCTTCAGAGTATCAACTGGTAAGCAAGTAAAGAGCACATCTTACTAGAGAGATGATGAGATAACAGTCCAAACCAGAATCCAAGGCCACAAAATCTTCGAGCATCCTTAGAGCCGTCAATGGATTAACAGTAATCGTCGCAGCGTACTCCACTGGACAAGATTTGTCAATCTTGTGCCACACACTCTCCTCCTTGACAACAAACGTCTGCCACATCCCTTAACACAGAGGAAGAGACTCCATCAAATTCCTTAACAAATCCAAATGTCAGATTCCTTGTACTAAGCAAGTCCACAGTTAACAACAATGTTCAAGTAAATAGTTAGATGGTGGTTAAGCATTTTATAGAGGATTAATTTATTATTATTTTAAATTATCATTTTTTTTTTCTTTTGTAAAAATAAAAGCTTTACTCAGAACCCAAACATTGTAATAGTCTCTCCCATCGCAGGTTGAACCTAACTAGCGGAAGTTACAGCCGCAACCCCTTTACCACTAGACCAACTCGACGTTAGTTTTAAATTTATCATTTTGAAAGAATATTTTCGTTTAGATCCGATTTGCCGACTAGCCGGACGCCTAGAATGTACCTGAGGAAGGTGGAGAGGGAATAACCCAATCACCAGGAGAAAGAGTATTGACATTGGAGCCAACAGAATAGACTTCACCAACACCTTCATAACCGCCAACCGCTGGTACCGGTGGCCTAACCGGGTACACACCTAACCAAAAGTTCAATTTTCTCATCAATTACAAAGACTCTCTCTCTCTCTCTCATTCACAATTTGTATTCTCTAACTGAACCTTCAATTCGATTGATATCGGAAGGATTGATCGGTGCGGCGATCATTTTAACGCATACGTCGTTTTCTCTCACTTCCACCGGTGGGAGATTCACCAATCTGAGAGAAGGAAAGTTAGTTAAGAGTGGAGATTATACATTCGGGAACGGTGGAACGGAGGCGATAGACGAAGGAACCTGGTGACAGAATCAGGAGAGCCGTGCTGGTCGTACACGATGGCCTTTGACGGTGGCGACATAAGCATTGAGAACGAACGTGCTCCGCGGCATCTGTTCAACCTGAAACTCACCACTGACGAGAATTTCAGAGTTCCGACCCCTACGGACTTCATCAACGCCGTCATCTCTCTCCTCATACGTTTCTCGTGCTCACTCCTCCTCACGCATCTGCCAAAACGGGGCCGTTTAAGCCTAAATAGTAACCAAATTAGCGATGGAAAATACTGTAAACAAACCGAACCAAGATTAATAAAACAATTTATAAATTCGATTGATTTCTTTTATCTTTCATACCTTGCCAAACTAGAGAAAGATAAAAGCTAAATAGCTCAAAGATTTGAATCCGATTCACCTAATTTCAGTCTGTTTTATGGTTATTAAGCTAAATAACTCAAAGATAAACCCCAAAACTTTAAATTAATAAAAAAAATATATATTTATAAACCGATCAGCTCTGTTATTGTCTTAAACCATTAAAAAAAAAACGAAAGCAGTGCCAAACCACCTAAACCGAAGTTTATAAGAAAATTATATATTTCATGATTGCTTATTGAAAATGTCATGGTTCATGAATAAGCGAGTAGTGGGACAAGCAGGCTGGTGTCCGGGGCAGTGCCGGCTTTAGGCATGTGCACACAGTGCACAAGCATAGGTTGATTAGGGTCCACTTTCATTTTTAGTTTTTTCTTAGTGGTATAGGGTCCTAATTTTCAGTTTTTTGCAAGAAAATATCCAAAATTTTGTATTTGCTAAATATAGACCTAGATTTGGTTTAGAAAATAGGTTTGCAGGGCCCAATATTAGTTTGAGCCGGGCCTGGTCAGGGGACAAATAGTAAAGATTAAAGAAGAGATGGAAATAGCCAACAATTTGTGAAGTGACCTGTGAGTCTGTGACAGTCTCATCTTATTAAATGTCAGTTTAACTTTCGGCTTTGCCAAAATTTATCTATATAACATTTTCCTTTAGAAAATAATCGCAGCTAGCTATGAAGAGTTCCTGTAAGTTACTTGGGTCTTTTTTCTTTTGTCAAAGTAGGATCTATTGAAACATGAAGAGCAGTTAGACCATGTTTATTGCAGGTTCCTTAAGTTGGGTCCCTTAACGTACGGTCCCTTAGCTTTTAACTGAAAACGCTAAGGGACATCTCTTAAATCCCTTATATAAGGGACGTCCCTTAGCGTTTTCAATTAAAAACTAAGGGACTGTACGCTAAGGGACCCACCTTAAGGGACCTGGAATAATCATGCTCTTATATAAATTCTTGTCCCTCTTTATTTCACTAAAGTCAGGTACGACCTTCAAGAAGATCACATAGAACCTTAACTACTCTACGCATCAGTGCTTCACCGTGAAAATAAGCTTGAGCACTACTAAATCCTCACCCACACCGAGTCTGAAGAATATCGAAGACAACAATACCTACCTAGCAAGACATACACGTTTTTGTTGTATGTAGCATATAATCTTGGACTCATCTAAATATTTTTCTTTCTTTTTTCCTCCTTTGTCATATACAGTAACTAGCAAGACAGTCTTTTTGGAATTAGACACAACCCAACTTGTCGTCAGTGTATTCTGTTTCAGCTACGTGTAATCAGTAATACAATGTCACTCTCTGAACCGTGTACAACTGAGAATACAACTCTTCTCAAACTTACAGTATACAAGATCAGGAAGCAAGGTTAACTCAACAAATTTCATTAAGAAAACATTACAATGTGAACTCTACTTCACTTAGTAATACAGTTTACGAAACAATCAATTCCAAAAAGTAAAATAAAAAATGAAATATATTCCTTCTATAAACAATTAATGACTTGTTGTTAGTCTTGACAGTATCAACGAATACGACGATTCACATAAGAAAACGGCTCATGAGCTGCTTTCCGATCAGCTTTCTTGACAGTCTCTGGACTTTCAAAAACATCCCAAAACCTCAAAGTCTCATCTCCCGCCGCTGAAGCAACGGTACAACCATCAGGACTCTGTGCCATATACAAAACTCTAGACGTATGCCGAGTGAGCTCAGCCATCTTCACCAACGACGGATACTTCCAAAGAGCAAGATGGTTCTTACAGTCTTACTAAACCCATGTGAGCTAAGCAACTCCATTTCCTTCTTACTCCACAACAAACAACACACTTCTGATCCAGTGTTCACCGAGTTCTAACAAACTCCCGTGTGAGTATTCCAAAACTTAATCGTCCCATCTTCTCCACCACCACCAGTTGCAAGCAAACTAGACAGAAACGGACACCAAGCAAGAGCCTTCACGGCAGATGAATGTTCCTCAAGCCTGTGCAGCCATTGCGAGCCAGCAGAATGATCCCATATATGTACAACATTGTCGTCGCCACCACTAGCTAACTCCTTCCCAGAGCCAGACCACTTGAGCCCACAAACTTCTCCGACAACATGTGACCTGGTCCTGACGTCGTTGTTGACAATCTTTTCGTCCATTCCTCCGGTTGTGAGGATGTGATTGTTCCACGCCAATGATCCTACTTCAGACTGGTGGAGATTGTTTAGTGTTCTGAGTTTACGGTTGGATGAAGAATCCCAAACCTGGACTTGAGAGTTGTTGAGACCAAGTGCGATGTAAGAACCATCAGGTGACCAGCTAATGCTTGTGATGGGTCCTTTGTTTTGTTCAATAGTGACGAGCTCGGAAACAGAGCCGGTGGAAGCGTCCCCCAGGTAAAGAGTGTGGGACAAGGCAATGGCTAAGACGTTATGAGAACTCCAGTCAAGCAAGTTGAGGTTGAAGTCATCGAGAATGTCGGGAGCTTCTAAGGTTTTACGACAAGTCTGATGAATATGTCGTCGAGGCTTTGGAAGTTGTTGTTGTTGTTGGTGAAGAGAAGAATAAGCTTGGAGAGGAGGAGGTTGAGGTTTGTTTTTGAAGGCGAGAATACGGTGGGTGCGGTTGAGATTAAGCGTTTCGGCTAAACGCTTGTTGTAAGCATCTTGGGAAGGTGAAAGCGTCACCACCACCTCTTCTGGTTTTCTTTTGCCTTTTTTTTTGCTTCGATCATGGCATCGATGATGGCGTGATGAGCAAAGTCGAAATCCATTGCTGATCTGTTTGGTATGAATCTGTCTAGGTTTTCCTTACGATTCGAGTTTATGCCTCGTGGGTTCATTATTACCAAGCAGAGTTGAGCGAAGGAGAGCAAGAGAGAAGCAAAGATGGGAGAAAAGCTTGTGTGTGTATGTGTGTGATTATTTTTCTTTTTCAGTTGTATTTATAGACAGCGATGATGGATCGATTTCCATTTCCCCCGATTGTATATTTCCTTTTTTGCAATTAGGTTTTCGGGTCAGACCTAACCTAGCACACACCTTAGGTTAGGTTGCAAATTTCCATTTTTGAGAGATTTTTACTTTTACCACGTGTAGTGATCTGGTCAACGTTTAATGACTTCATGGCTCCTCTTGTGTTTCTTTTAGTAAAAACTAAAAAGTGATTAATGACTCCATTATAGATACAAATTCTTACCATCAATATTTTTTTTTTCTTTTCGATAAACTGCTTTCATAAATAAAATTTATTATTGGCAAGTTACACACCATCACACATATGTCGACTCAGAAACCAAAATTATGTTGTGAAAGAGAAAAAAAGTTACTAGTCCGGTAAAACATACATGAATAAATCACACCATCACAATTGTTTCTTCAGTTAAGATTAATGAAATATGCAAACGATCACGTTGTCCTCTGCATCCTATGTCTTTTCTTGCATTTGGTGGAGTAACTATTCATATTTCCCCTGAAACTCTTTCAAGAACTTTGTTCACTTAGAAGTGGCGTATGTGGAGTAACACCGTCTCTTTTCTGGATAGCCCTTTGCTTCATCATGTCTGCGTTTTTAGAAAAAGCTAGCTGTATCAAGATAAAACAGAAGAAGTAATGATCTTAACAAAGAGTGGTTCTATTTGTCAATTACTAAACTACTGCTTGTTAATCTTTGACATTAGCTCTGTCTCCTTTTGTTTTTTTTCTCTAGATCTTGTTTGATTTGCTACATCTGAAGTCATATGCAGATGGTGATTTCTTGTGCTGCAAGTATCCTTCCCCTTTGCATTTTCACTAATCTTTCCTTATTATTTTGTGGTCTCAGTTTGATTGTACACAGAAACGTCAACCTTAATAATGCTAAATATATACAAGTGATCTCTTCAAGGTTTGTGAATTAGTAAAAATCCCGTTTTTTAACGATCTTTCATACACAACTTGTTTTTGGAACTGTACATTAGTAGAAACAGAACTCAAAGTAATAGTGAAATCAAACAAACTTGATCGTTTTGTACAACTTGATACAGCGACTGTTAGACTAATACCGTAAACAAAGTTGTGACTCACTTAAAAAACAGACTTTATCAGTCATTCATATATAAAACCCTAAGTTATGAGATTCTCCAACTTCCAAATTGCAAAAGGGATGGTTAACGAGTGAACCAATCTCCCACCTCGAACCAGCCTCTGCAACCAAACACCTCCTCAGAAAATCCTGTGCCTCTACAGATAACCAATCCGGTATAAGAGGAATACAACCGCTTTGACCCATGTGTTTGACCAACTCTTCAGACTCAAGAAGACCATTATACTCTCCCCAAGCTTCGATCCCAGTTAACATCTCCAAAACAGTACATCCAAAAGCCCACGTGTCAACACCATAGTCCACAACCCCGTAACGAATAAGCTCTGGAGCCATGTAAGTAGTGGTCCCCCTCCTATGACCCGTTCCGTTCCCATACTCGACCGAACCCTTAACCAAAGCTAAACCGAAATCCCCAATCTTAGCCAAATAACCACTAGATCCTACCCGGTTTAGTAAGATATTATCCGGTTTAATGTCACAGTGGATGATATTATTACTGTGGACGTACAAAAGACCGTAGAGGATACTTTTAGCGAATACTCTAACATACTTCTCCGGTAACCCTCTTCCTCCGTTAGCTTGGAGTAACCCGGCGAGGCTACCACCGGAGCAATACTCGAGAATCAGATTGTAGTTTACTCTCTCCCCACCGAACAGAGTGCTCTCACGCGCGATCTCGTCTCCGTAGCAACGCACGACGAAAGGAGAAGCGAGAGACGTTAAGATTCTTTTCTCGTACATGAGGCTCGACGCTTTTGAAATCTCAGCAGATTTTATGGCCACGATGGTGTGTTGGTGGGTTGTTGAGGAGGAGGAGGCTAGATAGACAGAACCGTAGGAGCCTCTACCGAGGAAGGTGGATTTGATCCAAGAGGAACGGTTTTTCACTTCTCCGAGGAGGGTTATGTCGGAAGATTTACGGTTAACCGCCTTGTCGAATGATTCTTTGCCTATCTCTTCGATACTGCTGCTGCTGTTCAATGACTCGATCTCCATCTTTACTTAGAATTTTTTTCACTTGTGTGTAATAGAAAACGAGTGAAACCCTAGAAACAAAGACAGACGAGAAGAAAAGAAGCTTGTGTTGTTCTGTGTGTATATATAGGGTTTGTGTTGGTGAGTGCGTTTTATTAACAAACAAAAGGCAGATATTAGTAATTGACTTCGTCAACACGAAAGTAATTTCCTTTTTTCGCAAGTGAAATCATAAGGTATTAACGGTCAAATTAGATATTTTCTTTTTAGTTAAGAGTCACACACGCGTGGTTTCCACTCTTCCGACTATTTTTTCGTTAATTTCCTTTTTTGCAATTTTATCAATTTATTATATACAATTTAAAACTTTAACCTTTACTAGGTGATTTTCCCGTGCTCATGCACGGATATAAATATTTATAAAATATATTTATTACAATAATTTATTCATATTTACTTTAAATTTTAAATTAATTTATAATTTGTAGGTATAATTTATATTAATAAAATTATATTAATTTAATTATATGTATAATTTTAGATATGTTATTTTTGTCAGTTTTATTGTTTTACGGTTGATTTAGTTATCATTTGGATATATTAGATTCTGTATATTTCTTTGAATTCAACTATAATCTTTTTTATCCTAAATATATTAAATTTTTGATTAATTGTCTTATTTACATTTATGCCGGTTGTTATCTTAGAAATATAAGTATATCTAGTAAGATTATGTATAACTTAAGATTTTTTGTGCTTAGAAATAAAAAAATAAAAACTAAACTTTCTTATTCTAAATTACATACATAAGTAACTAAATACATTTTTAGAAGCTTATGAGCACATATCAATATTTACAATATTTAGATTGATTGGATGGAAAACTGAAATTTATTTTAAATAATTTTTAAAATAAGGATTCTAATTTGCTTAAGTATTTTGATTATGGTTATATTAAGTTCCACAAACATAAAAACATAAATTAAAAATCAAAAGAGTTATTAAGAAAACATATAATTTTAACAATTAAAATATATTATATTTACTTCGTTAAATTATATAGTGTTATGATATTTTAAAATAATTGTAGTTATTTAATCAAAAAAGGTTTATTATTAAAATATATTTTTAGTTTTGTTTTTAATATCTGTTAAAATATGAAGTAAATTTTTTTATTATTTTTGAGAAATTATATTATATAAGTAAAATAGAATTTATATGTTTTGTTGTATTGTGAGGTATTATAGTCAAATAAATATACTAAAATATATATATATATATATATATATATATATATATATTTCAAGAATACAAATTATAAAAAAAAAATCAATTAAACATATATCAGTTGTTATTTAATTATTTTATGTAATCATCTAATAAAATAGATAGATATATACCAAAAAATAATTACTTTGAATATATATATATATATATATACATTATTGTTTGAAATTATTTTTTTTAAGAAAAAAAAATTTCTTTTTCTAATATCAAGATTAGTTGTGTGAATTTTTTTTTATGGAATCACACTATATACAAATATTGTTTTTTCATCTAAGAAGATATAGATATGGAATATTTTATAACTTCAAAAGTATATTTTATGTTATTTAAAATATATTTAAATTAAATATTACTATTTTGTGAACTTTTCTTTTTTATGAAACCATATTTCTATATACTTATATTTTCGTTTTAAATAGTTTTGTAAACTTTATAAATGTTTTCTTTTTATTTTTTATTGTTATTTGGAAAATTTTGAAAAGAAAATAATAATATTTAAATGTATTTTTTAAATTCATTAGGGGTATCACAGTAATCAACCATCGTGAAAGTTAACGTGAGCGCGACACATAAGAAAGTGACTTCTCAAATAATATTATAGAGATGTGCAGTTGCCAAAAAGAAAAACACTTTATGTTCTAAAAATAGGAAAAATGGAATAAAATAAATGTATTTTACGACGACACACTTGCTTATCTGTATATCTAATTGACAATATTAATCGAATGATCCAGCTATAACATAAACAAAAAAAAAAAACAATTTTGAAGCTTGAACTACAGTAGATGGTTTAAAAATGATCATATTTTAGTAGACTGGATTGACAAAACTCATAATCTACTGATTCAGAAAATAATTTCCTTTGGTTCCAAGTCCAACTAATAAACAATACAAATAAATAAACAAATAAAAAATATAAAGAAAAATGTAAGTTTTTTGTAAATTTTTCAAACCAAACCCCCATGAAGAAAATAAGTATTTTTTACCTGTAATGCAAATAATACTCTCTCTGTACAGTAAGACACCATAATAACCTTCTTCTCTTGGCAAATCAAAATACTCTTTGGCGTATCAGTTCACAGCAGAGAGGGGAGGTCTTGAGTCCGACACAGCTGCTTCGTAAACAGAGGAAGCACGTATAAGGTGTTGTTGCTGCTGCTGCTTTGCATCTCCATTAGCTTGCTTCCACAGTTTCTCATCTCGAAATGCTCTCAGTAACTCCTCAGATGCTGGAGTTCTAAGTTCCTCAATGGACTCAATGCTTGGTATGTCGATTGGTCTTTTCCTCGGCGTTGAACACGAAGGTTCATCCACCTGTTTGCACACAATTCAATTGTCACCAGACCGTAAAAACCACCCTTCCAGATATCTTGAAACTTACGATGTATTCATCAAGAAGACATTTCCCTGCGTTGTCTGTGATCTCTACGATCTTGTGATTATGATCACTCTTGAGCTCAACCAAGTCTTCACAGCACGGGATAATCATAGAGTTGACCTTGTCACATGCATCATTATCGAGTTTCAACGAATCTGACAGAAGACAAAGGTGAACTTTCAGTAAAACAGTGAAGAGTTTCTGTAAAAATTCAAAGGCATTAATTAGTAAAACTCACTATCAATTGAAGTAAGAAGGCTGGCGTTAGCATCATCAAAAACATCAAGAGATGATGATACAGCGGATGAGAACTGAGAGCGTAGATTCTCATTAGCATCCATGCCTCCCTTAACGATTGAGTCAACAGAAGCCACATTGTTCCGTTCTAGACTGACCAGTGACT